TAGACAATTTATGTCAATGATTTATTTGAATAAGCGATTCATTTGAAAAACCCATTTCATTCAAAAAAATTGCCAGGTATGTCAGCAGAACAGTTGCAGTCTTTAGAATTTCGATTACTTTACTTCTCAATATTGCCGACACTAATCTGCTCACTCGAAAGCAACTTTATTCTGTGTTTTTTAGCAGTAATTTAAGTAGAGTTTTGATCGTGCAACACATTGTTGAAAGTGCGTCACTTTGTTTCCTTAAAAAATATTGTTGACTTTGTGCAAGAAATCAGTGATTGATACATCTTAAGCCAGATGTTTAGCATCTCTGAAAATTGTACCATGCCATTCAAGAGGCATTCAGAAACATACTTAAAACGTGTCGAAGAGTGCATTTTACTCCATCATAGTTATCACTGTGCCCCTCAATCTGGAACTTCGCGCCTATTAAAGTCTCACATGTTTTTGTACAAGTCTCACATGTTTTTATACTGATTTTGTGGGTAATTTTTCTACATCAATGTATGAAAATTCTTCTGTTCAAAGTTCTCTGCTAATACATATTCGAAAAAGCTCAAAACAGTCTATCCAGACCAGCTTTTATGTGTAATATGCACCTCGATTGTGATTATCGCACAGCCTCAAAACTGAATAAGGAGTGGAGGTTTGGGAGAGCAGCTAAAAGCATAAATACCTTTGAGTAGATCTCTTCAAGAACTCAAATTAGTAGCTTGCTAACAATAAGATAACCTGAAAATTGAGCAGATTTTGGAACACCTATGGATGATTTGCAAGGATGCTGGACTGTTTGAAAGCCCTTATGAAAAGTGATCGGGAGTTTGGGGAGATTTCTTGAAGAAGAAAAGGAACTGTGATGCTTCCAAAGAGGATACTTTGTGAAAAAAAGAGTGACTGAAGTGTTTGAATTTAGGAATCTTTAGATTTGGTAGTTTATTCCTACTCGATGTAATTCTTCCATTTTATATTCATCTAAAAGAGAAAACCTTTCACTTTGAAGCAGTACCTTTCCCCTGAATTGGCATACGAAAGTTTAAGGGTTAGAAGCAAGAAGCAATTGAAGAAAATTACTCAAGATTGGCATTTTTCAAGCAGGGTCACAAAAAATTCTGGAAGTATTCTTCTGCGATAAAGAAGATTTTGCTCATTACTACAGTACCTTTCCCATTGATTAAAACGATAAAGATCGAGAGTTAGAAGCAAATAGAGAGAATCACTTCAGTTTTGCAATTTTTGAGCATGCTCAAAAAATTGCAAATCGAAGTATTCTCTTTATTTGCTTCTAACTCTCGATCTTTTTCGTTTTAATTAATGGAAAAGGTACTGTAATGAGCAAAATTTTCTTTATCGCAGAAAAATACTTCCAAAATTTTTTGTGACCCCGCTTGAAAAATGCCAATCTTGAGTGATTTTTTTCAATTGCTTATAACCCTTAAACTTTCGCATGCCAATTAAGGGAAAGACACTGCTTTAAAGTGAAAGGTTTTCTCTTTTAGTTGAATACAAAATAGAAGAAATACATCAAGTAGAAAGAGAGTTATGATTTTTTGAAAAACCGGCGAACGAACTTGTACACTCACCTAATATATTCGGTTGGTGCAAAAGTTCTGTCGCATCAAATTCAAAAATTCATAACTTGTTGTATTCTCAACGAACCTGCAAGATTCAAATTTTTCATAAGAAAAGAACTCATGCTCTTTGCATGAGTACTTGAACCGCTATCGCGAACAGATAAAGGAGATTGAAGCTGAAAACCAAAATCACTCAAAATTTGAATTTTTCGTGTAGGGCCATAAAAAATCGGAAACTTGCAGCAAAAATCGGAGCAGCCAGAATTGTAGGCTCTTCCACCAGCTCTTTCCAACAGTGCAAAGTTTGCACCAATTGAGCGTTTCTATGAAAAGTTATGATTTTCGAGCAAGCAATACAAAAGGGCGAATTTGATTTATTTTGGCATTTTTCAGGAAATTCATTCCTTTTCACAGAGACGCTCAATCGGCGCAAACATTGCACTATTGCAAAGAGATTGTGAAAGATACAATACTGACTGCTCCGATTTTTGTTGCAAGCTTCCGATTATTTATGACCCTACACGAAAAATTCAAATTTAAAGTGATTATGGTCTTGAGCTTCTATCTCCTTCATTTGTAGAGAATGAATTCCTCTCTTATACAGAATTTGGATCTTGTGAATTCGTTGAGAATTTAACAAGCTACGAATTTTTGAAAGTCGTGCGCAAGCGGAACAACCTAATATATTAGGTCGTTCCAAAAGTAATGTCGCTTTTTTCAAATGAACACCACATTTCGTGGAACCAAGATTTTCAGGAGCTCTTGGGATCAATCGATGCAGCATTTCATTCTCTTTCTAAAGGTTGTAATCTCATTGCATAATATTCAATGAGCTCTCAAAAAATTACCAAAACCTGCGACTCATGCTTTTCGTCATGGTCAAGTTCGGCTATTTTTCTATATTTTTGTACTGATTCCCCGAAGATATACAAGTAACAGATAGATAGAGCAAACCCTATTGGACACAAAACAATTTTTTCCTTTTTCTTAGTTTGCTTCTTAGAGTTTGTAGAATCAGTATTCCAGTGCTATCAAATTCCATATTTGGTCGACTCAAACCTCACAGAACAACAACCGACAAGCAACTCGGGTGTCATTCGACGCAGCTTCTTCTCCTCTTTTTATCAGTTGTTTTTGGTTTCCGATTCATAAAGTTTTCCGGGAAAAAATAATCATAATTTAGGTTTTCCAGGGCGCCCCAGGCTGTACCCGAAACTTCCGAAAGTTGCTAATCTGAAGCGGTGAATGCTCATTTGGTTTGTAAAATTAATGTCAGACCATAATCCATCTTTGTAAGTTTAAATCCGAAGATTTATTGGTGTCTGATCCATTTGTGTCTGAGACGAATCTGCTAAAATTCAGTGGTTTCATAAAAAAAATCTACACAGAAATTACGACAAGCTCTGGAAAGTAGAAGAAAGTTGTACTGTTTCCTGTAGTGATTGCTCTATCCATCCATTACTTGGACTCCTTCTGGGAGTTATTACAAAAAGTTAAAGAAATTGTGAAACTTGACCTTCCCAAAAAGCATGGGTTGGAGTTTTTAGTAATTTTTCAAAAGTTCATCTAGTATTCTGCAGTGAAATTATAGCCATTAGAAAGAAGATGAAATGCTGCATCGAATGCTACCAAGATCTCCCAGAAAACTTGCTTCCACGAAATGTGGCGTACATTTGAAAAAAGCGACAATACTTTCGGAACGACCTAATATATCAGTGGCGGTCGCAGGATTTCGGACCGGGGGGGGGGGGCAACAAATTTTTTTCAAATGAAGGTGCGTGGCGTTAGCCATGCACTCCGAAAAAATTTCAGGGGTGCTTCTGAAAATATTGCGGGTCCCTAACCGCTAAAATCTGGAAGAAGGGGGCGTGGCGTCAGCCACTTCGAAATAAATTTTTTTATAAGGCTAATTTAAATTTTTAAAAAATTTTAAAAATTATTTTAATTATTTAAAAAATAAACAAGTCTTTTGCACATTTTTGTAACCTATATAGGTAAGTTTCAAAAATTTCGCGACCCATTCTCGGGGGGGGGGGGGAGGAGACACGGTCCGCCACTGAGATATATACAGAGTGTCACAAAAAGATGTGCACACTGTTTGATCGTTAATAACTCTCTTTCTTTCATGTCTTTTACCGAGCTTAAGGTACCATTCTGTAGAGCGAGGTTTAACTTAAATTTACAGTATGGATTGGATAACCAATCATTCTTCGTTACTGTAGGATTACGGTATGAACTTTCAGCCTACAGCTTTGCTGTGGAGTAGGCCATTTGATGAAATAATTTCAAAAAAAATCTGAAAATTTGCGTGGCAAGGTTTTCAGGCGTGCTCATTTCAATACATAACTTTTCATGATTTTTTCGAGCTTTCTTGATGGCGTATCCACATTTCTGACGAATTTTGGGAAAACAGTTTTTACACTAAATCCGAAATAACTTATGAATGAAGCATTACATTGGAGTGTAAATTCTATATTTAGAATCAGCGACTTCGATTGTCCCACTTCACGAGTTTTTGGCTTATTTGGCTTTCTTTCTGAGGCAAAATACCGCTTTCAATGGCTTAAAATTCTCCTCGAAGTTCCTACCGTAACCCTACAGTGTTGAAAAGCGATCGATCATTCGCTCCATACAGCAAATCTAAGTTAAACCTCGCTCTACAGAATGGCACCTCAAGCTCTGCAAAAGACATGAAAGCAGGAGAGTTGTTAACGATAAAACAGTGTGCACATCTTTTTGGGACACCCTGTATATATATGCGAAGTATGAAGGAACCCAAAGGATGCTTACCCGAAATGGCCTTCTAGAATGTATAGCTCTTGTTTAGCATAAAACGCTGATTTTTTTTGCGTAAGCGTTCCCAGACGAAGTTGGCCGTTTATTGTAACAAAGAATTGAATGTGCAAGTAGGATGACCACATAAATAGTGCTTATAGTATATAATAGGTCGTTCCGAAGGTAATGTGGTTTTTTTTCTCAAGTGAACGCTGCAGTTCGCGGAATCAAGATCTCTAGGAGACCTTGTTAGCATTCGATGCAGCATTTCATTCTCTTTCAAAAGGTTATATGAGCACAATATTCGATAAGCTCCCAAAAAATTACCAAAATCTGCGACCCATGCTTTTTGGAAAGGTCGAGTTTCACAATTTTCCTAAATTTTTGCAACATCCTCCGAAGGAGTCCAAGTAACAGGTGGATTGAGCAGACAATATGGGAAACAATGCGATTCTTTTCTACTTTCCATGGCTCGTCATGATTTTTGTAGAGATTTTTCAATAGAATCACCGAATTTAGCAGGCTTGTCGCAGACACAAATTCATCAAACACCAACATCAAACTATAATAAACCATTATGGGAAATTGGAAAAGCTTAGAAACGACTAGCTTAGGTCTAACATAACAAATCTCTGATTAACACATGATTCACCGACATTTTTTATTCCGCCACAAATCTTCTTCGAGGCAATGCTGTTTTATTCGAGTTTTGTTTAGAATTGATCTTGCTCTTTCCAGATTCGGTAAGCAAACTGAATAAATGAACCCACCCCATTTCGGGTTCCAATTACCTGAAATGGGTAACCAAGTTGTCAAGACATTGATCTTCAAGAAAATCTGAACTGTACCTGTGATGAGGTATTTTTTGTCGTTGTAGAGTTTACCTCTTATCGTGCAAAAAGCTTTTGGCGTGTAAAGGAATAAACGAATTTCCGGGCAACGTGTCTGAACTCATTTTCTTGACGTTTCAGAAATGTTGGATGTAGAATCAAACTAGATTACTCTTACTCTGATAATATCTCCGACGAATTCGTATGTTTGTTTCAAATAAGGATTATAGTGCGGTCCAGTCGTGTAAACTTTGCCAATACCAACTGTAGAAATTGTACAATGAAAGTTACTCCATATAAACATTCTAACTCAAAACAAATGGCAACAACCAATAACATGCACATTGAAATTTTTGACAATTTCTAATCTCATGTATGAGGCATGTTTATAAAGTGCAAAGCTCTACGTATCGGTACCGTTACATCCGCGGTCTTAGGCAAAACATCCGTTTATGGCTGAGTTGGTTATGTGGCCATTCTAGTAAATAAAGTGATCCTTCCAAATAATGAGCGAAAGACTGGTCAGAGTGCTATGACTGCACGGAGCAGAGAGTGTGGCTGATATGGGAGCCCAGCGCAATCAAGTATGCACATTCGCCCCATATCGGCTTCCAATGACGTCCTGACAGGACTTTTATCTCAAAAATTCCGGAATATTTCCAAGCGTTTCGAATCAATCTTGTGATGCACTTTAAGAAAAGATTCACCAAAATTTTGAGATTTTCCGTAATTCCATATTTTTGAGACACTAGCGGCATCAGAGTGTCGCCATAGAAGAGGCGGAGCTAAACACATACCGAAAAATTTAAAAGAAAGAGCACTAGAAGAAGCAGACAAAAGAGAAAAAAGTGAAACTGGGCTGCATTCACAAAAAATGTCGCAAATTTGCTGGCTATTTGTGCACTTGCTGGATCAGCAGCATCAGTCATGCTAGTGCTGTCGTGTCCTGTACATGGATCAGATTTGACTTTTGAAAAGGTTTATGGGATTTTTTAGAAACAACAAAACGTGTAACTGTATTTATCCATCAGCCTAGTAACTCAGATTTATTAACATTCAAAGTTTACGACTTAGCAACAAAAACAAAACTAGTCGAAGGCAGTGTATCGACAGTTAACTGACTAGTCTTTTGCTCGTGGTTTGGATATAAAAGGTTTGAAATACTTTGCAGGGTCAAAATCTTACATTTCGAGTCACTAAACTAATTACTTCATTCGAGTCAGCCAATCAAGGGTGACGGCTTTGCTTAGCCGAGAGCCGAGACGCTGCCTGCATTTAAGTGATTGTGTAATTGTTGAAAAACTCACTGAAATCCCAGTTGCAAATTATTTTATCAGGAATATCCTCGCATGTGCACCACAGAACGCTCGACGTTACCACAAAGACAGAGGCAAGAATCGCGATTTTCATTTCTGAAACAATGACAAATAGCTTAGCAGAAATCAGAAATTCCGTCAGTTCACAGACCAACCGCTAGCGCACTTAATAAATCCATCCTTTTGAAATATATTTGTGTTCATTCACTCTTTTGCTGCCGATTACTAATCGATCTTTGCAAATACAACATAGGACGAAACTCTGTATTGAAGTGCAACTTATGTGGCTTTTGCACCACAGCAAAAATCGCTGTTGTAGTCCAGCATGAACGTACGTAACTACATATCTCAAGATACCCCTAAAAGTGAACAAAAGCAATGAATGTTCTTAGCAGTATTGGGTACAAATTAACTTAGGTCATGGAGTCTCCATTCTGCGCCGGTTGTAGCTTTAGCAGCCGTTGATCGCTGTTGCGTCTGTTACTATTTTTGTAATCGATTCGCTTCTGGTCAAGCTGTTCTCATAGAGGACGTACTTGTTCGCGCAAAAGCGAAAATTTTTGGGCTCAAGACATTTTCGTTTCAAACCAAAATCTTCCATTCAAATTCCATTTTGACGCTATTCTACTACACTGGAGCGACTCAGCATTGCCTAAAGGAGTTTCCTTCGATGATTTTTCAATATGAAGCTATGCGCCTTTACAAAGCGATTAAACCATTTTTGAGGTTTTTTTATGCAGCAAATATTTATTTGGCTACTGATCTTTTATGCGGATGGACATTCCGTTACGTAACGGAATCTGAAGTGTAGTTTTGAAGCTATACTATCGGAATTGAACTGAAACTTTGCGGTACTAAGGGTGGTTTTTCGATTTACCTTCCATTTTTAAGCTACTCTCCTATGCTGATTCAACGATATCGCTGCGAGGATCTCCCCAATGTTTCTCGTTCTGAGTATATTCTATACTTGGGTAATTCGAAAATTTTTCATCGAATGAATGAATACCGAATAAATTCGAAAAGGAAAAATCTCGAATAAACGAATCTTATATATAAAGCTGAATGTCTGTTTGTCTGTCTGTATGTCTGTCTGTATGTCTGTCTGTCTGTCTGTGTGTACGTATGTTCCGAATAGAAAATTCCATTTCTGAACCGATCCGGACCAAACTTGGCACACATACACTACGGGCCCCGGCGGGTGTCATAGGCTACTTTTCGTCATCGATCGATATCGATTTTATCGATTTTTATCGATTTTTTTGCTGAGTTCACCTACGGGGCTGGGAGTTGGCACAGGGGGGTAATCGAGCATGGGGATTCCGGTGGTTTTCAGGATTATCGATTACTTTTATCGATTTTATCGATTTTTTTGCAAAGTTTGAACTACGGGGCTGGGAGTTCGCACAGGGGGGTAATCGAGCATGGGGATTCCGAATACAATATTGGTTTTCAGGATTATCGATTACTTTTATCGATTTTATCGATTTTTTGCAAAGTTTGAGCTAGGGGGCTGGGAGTTGGCACAGGGGGGTAAACGAGCATGCTGATCATCCCCAAGGGGGGTGATCAGCATGTTCGATCTCCCCCCTGTGCAAAATCCCAGCCCCGTAGCTCAAAATTTGCAAAAAATCGATAAAATCGATAAAAGTAATGGACAATCCTGAAAACTAATATTGTGTTCGTAATCTGCATGCTCGATTACCCCCCTGTGCAAACTCCCAGCCCCGCAGGTCAAACTTTACAAAAAAAATCGATAAAATCGATAAAAGTAATGGACGATCCTGAAAACTAATATTGTGTTCGTAAACAGCATGCTCGATTACCCCCCTGTGCAAACTCCCAGCCCCGTAGCTCAAACTTTGCAAAAAATCGATAAAATCGATAAAAGTAATGGACAATCCTGAAAACTAATATTGTGTTCGTAATCTGCATGCTCGATTACCCCCCTGTGCAAACTCCCAGCCCCGCAGGTCAAACTTTACAAAAAAAATCGATAAAATCGATAAAAGTAATGGACGATCCTGAAAACTAATATTGTGTTCGTAAACAGCATGCTCGATTACCCCCCTGTGCAAACTCCCAGCCCCGCAGGTCAAACTTTACAAAAAAATCGGTAAAATCGATAAAAGTAATGGACGATCCTGAAAACTAATGTTGTATTCGGAATCCCCATGCTCGATTACCCCCCTGTGCCAACTCCTAGCCCTGTAGGTGAACTTTGCAAAAAATCGATAAAAATCGGTAAAATCGACATCGATCGATAACGAAAAGTGGACTGTGACACCCGCCGGGGCCCGAAGTGTATGTGTGCCAAGTTTGGTCCGGATACGGCGGAACCGGGTAAGCCAGCTTAGCGAATAAATTCGAAAATAAAAAATCTCGAATAAACGAATATCGAATAAATTCGAAAAGGAAAAATCTCGAATAAACGAATATGGAACAAATTCGAAAATAAAAAATCTCAAATAAACGAATATCGAATAAATTCGATTTTCAGAAATTCTCGAATGAATGAATTTCGAATAAATTCGGAAATTCAAAAATATCGAATGAATGAATATCGATTATATTCGAACATTGGAAGCCGAATTTCGAATAAATATCCGAATGATTTATCGAATAACTAGAGCAACCATATTTCAAACTTGCTGACATATCTGGCTGAAGCCGGTCCATTCATAATCAGCACCCTCGTATCCCCTATACTATACTTGGGACCGAATCGAATAATTATTCGATCATTCGAATAAATCATTCGAATGCGAATGATTTGAAAAGTCGAATATTCGAAGATCTGAGCTTTCAAATAAGATTCGAAAGTCGAATATTCGAAATTTTCAGTTTTCGAATATATTCGATAGTCAAATATTCGAAAATCTTCATTTTCGAATATTATTCGAAAGTCGAATATCCGAAATTTTCAATTTTCGAATATATTCGATATTCGAATATTCGAGGGTCATTCATTCGATCATTCGATGTCCATCAAAATTTCGAATATTCGTCGAGCACCCAATATTCAGATCAGAAATTCGATAAGAATTGACTATTCGAAAATTCGATAAGCGCCGAATATTCGAAAATTCGATATGCATAGCGTATACGAAGTGTCTTGAAAGTATCCACACCGTTTGATCGCCTAATGCCTCTCAAAATCTTTTGCCAATTTCTGGGTAACATCCAGTAGGGATGGTTTCAGCTTATAAATACAGCAGAAAGCGAATCGTTATCACGGTGGGAGATTCCAGACCAACTGCAAAATAAGACATCCAAAAAAATGTCTCCAAAAAAGGTCTAAAATCTGTGCAGCAGTGTTTTTACGTATGCTAATTTCACAACGCACGAGTTTTCAAGCTTTTCAAATGGCAACCACATTTTTGAAAGGCGTTGCAAAACACTTGTTACGGTGTACCTGGCGTAAGTTTTGAAGAAAGCATTACGGTTGAGTGCAAATTCTACATAACCGGCCCTTTTGATTTTTTTCTTGGGGGAAATGGCTCTTGATGTTTCAAAACCCTTTTCAAACTTACGGTAATTCTACAACAGTGAAAAGCGATTGATAAATCGCCCCATACTCTAAGTTGATGTCAGCCCACAGATCTGCATACGTTGGGACCGCTGTATATCCAATCGCATCTCTCAATGATGGTAGATAATACAGGGTGTCCCAAAAAAATGTTAACACTGTTTGATCATTAATAACTCCCTTGCATTCATGTCTTTCGCCGGGCTTGAGGCACTATTCTGAAGAGTGAAGTTCAACTTAGATTTTCAGTGTGGAGCAAATCACCGTCTGCTATTCGTTACTGTAGAATTACGGTAGGAAGTTCCAGCATGAGGAACCGTTGTGAAATATGCCATCTGACAAAACTTTTTCAAAAAAATCTGAAAAATCGTGTACTGGGGTTTTCGCGCACGCTGATTTCACTGCACAATTTTTACGAGTGTTTTCAGCTTTTTTGACGGTGTTATCACATTTTTGACACATGCTGGGAAGTTAGTTATTACACTCTACCTAAGACAACTTTGAAAAGAAGCATCATCGTAAAGTGAAAATCTTATATTCAAAATCAGCGGCTTCCATTACCATAGTGTAAGAGGTTTTGGCCTATTTGGTTTTGTTAGGAGGCAGATTATGACTTCTATTGGCCTAAAATCCTTGTCGAATTTCCTACCGTAATCCTACAGTAATGAAGAGCGAACGGTGTTCGCTCCATACTGTAAATCTAAGTTGGACATCGCTCTACAGAATGGTTCATCAAGCCCGGCAAAAGACGTGGAAGTGAGGAAGTTATTAACGATCAAACAGTGTTAACATTTTTTTGGGACACCCTATTATCTTGAAGTACGAAAGATCTCTTCACAACCGTCACAGGAGAGCTTTTAGGTTCCTAAGTCTCTTCACGTCACGACTAAACCGTTATTCCATCGTAAATTGTAACATAAGAAAGTGCACATTCTTAACACTTACATGAAACAATTTAATCTTAGATGTTTTGGCCTTTCATAGGTAGTCTCAATGACGTAAATTATTCGATAGGTATTCGAAAATCGAATGATATACGAAATTCGCATAACGAATGATATTCGTTATTCGAATATTATTCGATTCGAAATTTTCATTTTCGAATAATATTCGATAGTCGAATATTCGAAATTTCCGATTTTCGAATAAAATTCGAAAGTCGAATATTCGAAATTTTCAGTTTTCGAATATTATTCGATAGTCGAATATTCGAAATTTCCGATTTTCGAATAAAATTCGAAAGTCGAATATTCGAAATTTTCAGTTTTCGAATATTATTCGATAGTCGAATATTCGAGAATTTCTATTTTCGAATATTATTCGATATTCGAATATTCGAAATTTTCAATTTTCGAATATATTCGATATTCGAATATTCGAAAAAAATTCCGAATTTCCCCAAGTATACTCTATACCAACTCCTAGCTCAAAATTTTCCGAAAATCGCTGAAATCGATAAAATAGGTTTCAATAGCATCCTCATTTACCCCCCCCCCCCCGTACCAACCAACCTCGTGGCTCAAGATTTTCCAAGAATCGACAAAATCGATGAAGTAAATTTATATCGA